CTGGAGCAGTATTCGTGGGGTCGAACCAGTTTGATTATGCGAGGCGTAAAGGATACCCATTCTAGTTTTTCTCTCTTAAGAACACGAATTCGCGCCTGAAGTGGCTGCATTATTCCTCATTCAAAGGTTTTGCAATTGTCGGCGCTACAGTTTTGCCGTTCTATACACTCAATCTCTAGTGCTGGGCTCAGAGCGTATGGCCACGGCCAAGTTATTGTTGACGGAGCTTGTTTCCACGCGTTTCTGTACAGTAGTCATTCACTCTCGTGCAGTTTCCCCGTCCAACATCATATCAAACAACAGTCCGCATACGAGGTGTGGAACCAAATTGAAAGCCCAGCGAGGACATGTTGCGGGTATCTATTCGATCATGTACAAGCTCCCCTAAAATCTATATCATCAGCGAAGGCATCACGTAATCGTCAGATCGTACGCCGTACTTTTGACCCCTGTTGACGCCTGCCTCCGGTTTGCCCATGCTTCTCGTGTGAATCGTTACGCCATGATCCTGTATCTGCTCCCGTCGCGATTACTACAGTAGGCGACTCGGCATCGTGTGCACATCGTGTATACACATCGCGGCGCGAGTCGCCCTCGCCAGTCCTCGCGACGTTGTCTTGTGGTGTCATCTGCCCCACATGTCATCTGTCGTCAAATGCCCTCATAATGAGGGTGCTGTTTAGTTGGCGAATATGCGCACGTTCAGGTCGACACTTCCCGTTGCGATGACGCAGCGTATCGAGACATCCTGAGGCTTTGCCGCCGCTTTGCTTGGTGTTCCGTTGGCGCCATTGGCACCATCGCCGTTGGTGACCGCCTCCCGTGCAATGCCAGGGGCCCAGCGCAGACACGAAACAAAGTGGCCGTGGACGTCGTCAAGAACCTTGACGCATTTGCCCTCTTGCGCCAGATCCCAGCATCGCAGAGTCTTGTCATCGGACACACTGAGCAGGTACTTGCCGCCGGGGTGGAAAACCAGCGCGCGTACCCAATTATCGTGTCCCAGCAGAGTCTTGATGCAGTTTCCACGAGCGTCCCATAACCTGATGGCCTTGTCACGGCTGCCCGTTGCCATGAACTCGGCCGTGTTCGCTGCAGGCGGAGCCTTCTTCAGGCCGGCCAATGACGCCAAGTGGCTGTAAGCCGTTGGCGGTGCGAGCGTGCAGCATTCCACAACGTGCTCGTGGCCGACCAGCATCAACTTGACTTCGGGATTCGAGGCGCTAATGTCCCAGAGGCGACCCGTCTGATCGTTCCCTGTTGACAAGAGGTAGCGTCCATCCGGCGATGGGCATACGTCTCGTACCCAGTCTGCATGCCCTCGCAGTGTCTTGACGCAGTAGCCCGTTGATACATCCCAGATTCGCAGTGTCTTATCACGACTCGCCGACACGAGAAGGTTTCCCGTGGCACCTGCGGCTCCCGAAGGAATGAATCGAACCGCACTGACGCTGTGGTCGTGGCCAGGCAACGTTCGAATGTTCTTGTACTCGTCTGACGGGTCCCATAGCTTGATGGTCAAGTCACTCGAGCATGAGGCGAGCAGCGTAGCACCGCGGGGCCCTCCAAAATCGACATCCAAAACGGCCTTTGTATGTCCCTTAATCGTCCTCTCGAGTTCGCCCAGCTCCCAGTCCCAGATTTTAATGGTATAATCTTCCGATCCAGAGGCGAGCGACGAAAAGACGGGGTGAAATGCTACGCAGGTAATCGGGTCGCGGTGGGATTGCAAGGTGTGTCGGGCGGGGGAGCGTGGCAGCCAGCTGGTAGGGTCCTGATTTCGTCGAGATAGTGAGGTTGGTGTCGCATTGTCCAGTTCTGATTGCAGGGAAGCACTTCGAGACTCGAGTTCCATGATCTAGAGGGCACAACATCGGTCAGAGCCGCTGAAAGCAATCGTCCAAGGCCACTGGGGATGGAACGAACCTTTTTCTGCAGTCGCACTACACTGGTCCATTTCTTCTCCAGCAATCCCTCATATTTCTTCGAGGTGGCGGCATCGAAAGAGTCGCCGATCTGCAATTCTTCTCTGAGGGCATTTGCGGCATTAGGGAGGTTGCTCGAGGAGAGGTACGCGATAATGGCCTTGTGCCTGCCACCGTCTGGTCAGTATGTCGCGTCCAAGGCCACTTTTTGGGGCGAAGAGGAGGGGAACCTACAGCTCCTCTGCTTGCCGAGGGGTGAGGATTTGGCTCATCCTGGCAGACGGTGGAAGCTACGTAAGTAACGAATTGTTTGCAAATAATTACAGAGTTGAGAAGAACCGGTGGAACAAGAAGGCGCACACGAGCGGATGGAAACGAAAGAGGTGTGGTTTGGTGGTTTGTTATCGAGGTGTGTCTGCAAGACTGTGCTCGGGGCTCCGTCTGTCGGTGGTGGTGGTGGTGGTGGTAGTGGTATCGCAGCAACCGCGATGGGCGCGCCACGTGCAATCGGAGGTGGCAGAAGCTGGCTGGATGAAAGACGAGGCTGATGTAAATTTGGAGGCGGTCGGGGAGGACAGGAATTGGTAGCCTCGTTGATCGGATATTTTATTGCAGCGACGGCAAGATGCAGAGGTCAGGCAGGTCAGGGTCGAATTGGCGGGGACCAGGGCCAAGTGGCAGATATTCGCGGAGTTGTAAAGGCGGTGTCGGTGTTGTTGGTGTCCAAGCTCTCGATATTCTTTGACTCTGCAAGGGTGGATAGTTCCTCTCTGTGTGTCTCTTTTCTTCGGCGGGTGTTTTCAGTCAGGGGTTGGGCTCCCAGGCGTTGGGCAGCATATCTTTGTGTGTTATAACAGCAAATTGCAGGATTGAATCGAGTCTCTTGCAGAGTACGTGGTTGAGGTATGTCAAGAAGCAGTGACTTTTTTGGGAGGGGAGACAATATGTCCAAGAATGCGAGGCAAGACGAGGCGAGGGGTGCAAGTGCGAGGCTCGACCAAAAGGTGACGCTTGAAGGTGGGCAGGAGCCGGAAAGGCGAAATGTTTCATGTGCTTCGGGCTGTGTTGGCTGCGTAGGGAACACCCTGAAGAGTTGGTGGGAGATGAGGCGGTGCGTACGGGTAGTATGGTGCTGGGGAGCCACGGCACTGGCGAGGACCCTCCGATATGCGAGTCCCAGATATTCTGTACGCTGTATCCGTATGGGCGTATGGGACCCTGGGGAAACTTCTCCGACGACGACGAGTGTTCAATGCTTGTGGCACTGGTAGAGGGAAAAGATGGGAGAAAAGAGGTCAACCCTGTTTGGTGGGGTGGGATGAAGTGTGGCTGGTACAGCGCATACGCAGTACGCAGTACTCCCTAAGGTAGTTTTGGAGACGAAGGTGTGGCTAGTGCTTTGCCAGCTGGGCACCAAATCTGCCAGCTGGGTTGCCGTGGAGGGCTGAAGTTGTGCGTCCCTCTTTCCCCCAATGACATCACAGTTTTGCATCGTTTCTATGGCAATAGACAGAGTGTTGATTGGCTCGAGATTCTTCAGCATCAATATGTAGTGCAGCCACTTTTTTTTTGCAGTTGTCGCAGTCAACCAGCCATTTCGGACAGGATATTATTTCTTTGGAGAAAAGACAGCTACAGCATCATCACTTGTTAGGGGTCAAACTACTTCACTACTTTCTAAGGCCCAGGATGGAAAGGCCTGATTCATGCCATGATTTGCCGTCTTTAAAATAGTGGATAAGTTAGAGTGGCTTACAACGGCCATTAATGCGCAAATTGAGCAAGCGCATTTTGAGTGCTTTGGGCCGGCACCGGGAAGCAGAGAGGAGGAAAAAGAAAGCAATTTGATTGAATTGCTGGCCCTGGCTTCATGACTAAGGCTCCGAGGCCCGAGTAGACGTTGAAGGCAAGCCAGCGGTGAGGCCAATAGAAGGTGAGAAAGGTGACTACCTTAAGGTACCTACCTTAGGTAAGGTAACAAATGCCCCGCCATCTATGTTATCAAACCTTATCGACTGGTAGAGAATCCTGAGTCATCATGTGACCTGTGTTGACCCGGGAGACCAGCGACCCAATCATATTCATGCCCGATTGCCCGATGCGCGCCCAGCAGCTGTGGTCCCCCCCCCACACAAACACGTCAGGCCAGGCACAGGGAGAAAAGGGCACCCAATGCAGGCGCCCACCACCAACTGGCAACCCTGACAGGACAGCAAGCAGCCTTGAGGTGAACGGTGAACCCCATCCAAGCACCACGGCCAAGCACCAAAGCACCTGCTAGGCCCGTCCACTCCGCCCTTGTCCCGACAACCAAAATTCCCTGTGCTCCTCGGGACCAGCACAAACAAAAGAAACCCCAGCCATACTTTTCGTACACATTCCACAACCCTCAGACTGGCGACGTTGACTTTGTACCTTCACCTGCAACAACCACGCTACGGGATCTACCTCTAGTCTCCTTTTCTCTGTCATCTCCAAGACCTGATTTGACTTCCTCCAGTCCCGGTCCCTTGTTTCCACGAGAACCATCACCGCACATACCTCACATCTCTCGCTCTCCCCTTGCCTATTCCTATTCCTATTCCTACGCTCTTAGGAACCTTTTTTGCAATCTCTAATACCTCAAAGGATACTTCCACAGCTCGCACTCACCTCGCCCACTGCCAGGTACCAATCCCACATTGGCTTGACCATCAACAAGTCTTTGGCTGCTGCGACAACCTCAAACCCACCTGATCTGGTTCAGCTTGACCATCGTTCTGTAAGTCATGCCAGTCTCTTGCGCCCATATTACCACAGACATCGCCAGTCACTGCGCCTGCAGCTGCCGGCAGCCTGCATACCATTGCGTTCTGCAGCTTGTGACTGTCCTCCTTCCTCAATATGGACCGTCATCTCAAACATACTCGTTCCCTCTCGAGGCTAATCAGACGTGTAGCTAGCTTCAGAAAGCCAGACATCCACGACAAGGAGAACTGCTCCCCCGATTCAGCTCTTCCTCCTCCTCCACCTACTCCAACCCCTCCACCACCCAAACCAGTCCCTCCTACACCCCGCCAGCAAGCCTCCATTCCGATGGCTGAAGAAGAAGACTTTAGCTCCCTTCCTCTCCAGGATAGGTTTACTCACAAGGTATGACGTCGCCGCCTCCGCTGCGCCGTGTTTGATGCGCTGACGCGCCGCAGGTTTGGAAAGTAAGAAAACAAGCCTACGAAGACGCCGCAAAGGCTTTCGCTGCCACTGCCGACGAGTACGACAATGCCTTCAGACCCTTCCTCTCCGACTCGGGCCTTTGGAAAGGTGCCGTCGCCGATTCCAACGTTGCTGCCCAACAGGATGGTCTGGCGGCGTACTGCGCGTTTCTCAAATTTGGAGGAAAGGAACACTGCACAAGGACGCGCGGAACTACGATAGGGCCTATTTGTGAAAAGGGTTTGCCGTCAACGCGTGCCGCCGCCAAGGAGTCATCTCTCGAAGCCCTTCTACTACTCGTCGAACTCGATGTTGCCGCCCCAGTCATCGAAGAGATTATCCCGGCGCTTGCGAACAAGCAACCCAAGGTTGTCGCCGCGGCTATTACTGCCTTGACCGCAATCTACCACAACTTCGGATGCAAGACCGTCGACCCCAAGCCCGTGTTGAAGGTCCTCCCCAAGGCATTTGGTCATGCCGACAAGAATGTCCGTGCTGCCGCGACGAACCTTGCCGTCGAATTCTACCGATGGCTGCGCGAAGCCATGAAGCCCATGTTCTGGGGCGACTTGAAACCCACTCAGCAGACCGACCTCGAGGCGCAATTCGAGAAGATCAAGGCCGAACCTGCCCCGAAGCAAGAAAGATTCTTGCGCTCACAACAAGCCGCCATGGCACGTGCGCCTCCCCCCGGAGCCGACGACGAGTACGATGATGGCGGAGACTATGGCGAGGAACCAGCCGAGATGGACGCCTTTGACCTGGCGGAACCCCAGGATGTCTTTGGCAAGATCCCCGCCAACTTCAACGAAGCCTTGGCCTCGTCCAAATGGAAGGAGAGAAAGGAAGCAGTGGAAGGTCTCTACGCGGCAATCAACGTGCCAAGAATCAAGGATGGTGACTTCAACGAGATCAACCGAGGGCTGGCAAAATGCATGAAGGACGCCAACGTTGCTGTTGTGACTCAAGCCGCGCAATGTATCGAGGTCTTGGCCAAGGGATTGAGGCAAGCCTACGCGAAACACCGCACTACTGTCATGCAACCCATCATGGAACGCTTGAAGGAGAAGAAGGCGACGGTGGCGGATGCTCTCGGCGCCGCGCTTGACCAAGTCTTCCTGGCGACAAGTCTGACTGACTGTCTCGAGGACATCAACACCTACCTCGTCCACAAGAACCCCCAGATCAAAGAAGGCACCATGAAGTTCTTGATTCGTTGCCTGAGAACGACACGCGATGTGCCGAGCAAGCCAGAGATCGCGTCCATCGTCGAGGCGGGCAAGAAGCTATTGACCGAGTCCAGCGAGGGCCTCCGTTCAGGCGGTGCTGAGATTTTGGGCACTGTCATGAAGATTATTGGCGAGCGCGGTATGGGCCCGCACATGGAAGGCCTAGACGATATCCGCAAGACGAAGATCAAGGAGTTCTTCGAGACGGCTGAGGTCAAGGCAAAGGAGAAGCCGAAGCCTCCCCCGCCAGCTGCCAAGGCACCACCTCCGAAGAAGGTCGTTGGAGGGAAGAAGCCCCTGGGAATGAAGAGACCGGCTATGCCGGCCGCAAGCGCCCCGCCGCCCGCCGATCCGGAACCCCTCTCCCCACAAGCTTCATCTCGTCCCAAACCCGCCGGCACCAAGATGGGCATGCCAAAGCCGTCGGGCTTGGCTGGCCTCAAATCGAAGCGCCCTCTCGGCGCACCAGCGGCCGGATCCCCTCGACGCCCTGCTGCCGCACCAATCATGCCTGACGATGATGAGCCTGCCCCTCCTCCACCTCAGCCTCGCATTGGTCTCGGCAGAGGTGGTCTTGCGGGACGATCTCTTGCGAAACCTGTTGCTGCTCCTATTCAGATGCCCCCTGCGTCGCCACCGCCGTCCAGTGGACTCACAGCAATGGAGCGGGCTGAGCTCGAAGAACTCAGATCGGCAAACGAGCGCCTGACACGCCAAGTGGAGGAAATGAGGCATGAAAGGAGCAAGTACATGTCTGAGATTCAAGAGTTGAAGAACCAAAACGCCGGTCTGATCGAAGACCATACCCGCGATGTCCTCAGCATCAAGGCCAAGGAGACGCAGTTGGTTCGCGCGAGAAGTGATGCAGAGGCCACGGAGTCAACGAACGATCGCCTCAGACGAGAGCTGGACCGCCTTAAGAGAGCGCTCAACCACGCTGAGGCGCTGAACTCAAGGACAGGCATGGGCAGTCCCGGTAAGATAGATAGCAGCTTCTTCTCTTAGTATGTGGTCATGTGCTGATTTAGACGCAGGTCTTGCTTCGCCTACACATGACGACGCTGGTATTTACCGCGACGCGTCCTACGGTTCATCTTCAGCTCGACACAACCGTGTTAGTTACGCCAGCAACATGTCCGAGGAGAAGGAAAACGGAGATCACCACTATCCTCGCTCAAAGGCACTCAGTCCCGAACTTAGGTATACGGGTAGTGCATCATCCGGACGCGGCAGCCCTGCTAGAGGCTACAGAAGCTCTGCGGCCACCCCCGTTGATGATATACCGGCACCCTCATACTCGTCTGGCGGCGGCGGTGGAGGCGGTGGCACGAACTCGAACAACAACGGTGTGGAAAGCTGGAAGCGTGCAGCTGAAGTGACTAGCCAACTGAAAGCCAGGATTGAACAAATGAAGGTCAGTTCACCTCTTGATCCGGTGTCATCTATTCCACATCACTAACAATTCTTAGGCGAAACAAGGATTTGCCCGTCCTTGAGCTCGACCACTGAACCACCCGGTGCCAGATGGCCCGCTGGATACTGACGTGAACATGAAGGGGGGTTTTGCTTGGGGTTTGTAATGGTCACGGTTCAAAGGGGGGGGGGGGGAATCCTGCGTGTTCTTGGTTGCATATCACTGGCGTCGGAAGCATACCCCATACCTCATCTCCGGCCTGCAGTTGGGACAGGCAATTTTCGTCTGTATGAGTTATGCATTTTCACCTCTATTGTCGGCTCGCTTGTATAACCTCGAGGGGCGCGAGTGTACTTAATTAACGATGATTATGAATAAGAGTCTGCGATACCAGTCACCATGAAGATATGAGAGCTTTGGTAGTTGCTAGTGTGTTATTGTCGACCTCATCGCAACATTACCATCGTACCTAGCTAACTAGGATAAGAATTGCATCTGCGGCAATTGACTACCTTCAAAACTAGCCCCCATCTGCGTTCAGTTCTTTTTCATCCCATTGTCCAATACGCCCAAAATCAAAACCACCCTCAAAACCGCGGATTGCACGATGTACCTCGCTTAGTGTACACAAATAATTCGCTGATCGGGCCCAAAATCACAGGATGAAGAAGGAGAAGAAGAAGAAGATGTTGCGCAGTGGCTGAGAAATTCAAGTCGGGACCGCCCTCAACCAAACCTGACTATCCCCCTCCAATCCCTCAAGCCAACATGAAGCCGTACCTTTAGAATCGAATAAAATACCGAAACCACCCACTCGTACTATAATCAAGCATGAACTTTGGAATATACTTGGGCTTGGGTTCCACATCCTTCACAACCTCACTCTCTCCTTTTTCCTTCTCCTTCTGCACCTCCTCCACCTTGGCATTCTTTCCTCCAACAGGCATTGTGTGAACAGAAGGCCTCCTGATGTGAACATCCACCTCGACCGGATCAACCTGGATATGCGAGCGTTTTTCTTTCGCGATGTTAATCCGTCCATCTTGTTCCTCGAGCAGCACGTCTCGCCGTTTTGTGAGGAGAGACGAGGTAAAGTGTGACGATGACTGGATCCTGCTGATGACGCGGACGGGATCGACGCGTAGGGCAGAGAGGTCGACGTTGTCTACGCCGATTTTGCCCGTGTGGATGCCGAGGTCGTGGGGGGGTTGTGTGTCCGGGGTTGGGGCGAAGACTTTGTTGTCTTTTGCGGTGGGGAGGGCGAGGGTTGTTGGGAGGAGGAGGAGGGTGAGGAGGGATGTTGTTAGATGCATTGTTTGCGGTGTGTTGTGGTGTCTAGCTCACGTGGTCGATGTGATGATGGCTTCAGAGTCGAGTGACAACGACAATTGACGCGGTTTCTTGGGCTTGGATGGTGAAGCGGTGGTGGGGGAGTTCCAGAGCCCGGGGGACTTATACCACCCACCGAAGGCGAAAGAAGCTTTTTCTCCATGCTTCCACCGGCCGCATCAAAGTTGGGATCGGGAAAAAGAGGGGATCGCAAGAAACAGTCCAAACAGCTTGCACCTGTGCGGTGTGGTGCGGGCGTGCCGCGTGCGTTACGTGCGGGCCACAACGGTGTCAAGTGTCATTGACTGCCAGTTTTGACACCTTTCTTCTGGCTGTAGACTGCCGGGGAAAGTTAATTAGTCGGTAAGTTGAGGAGGCGTACATGCTGCAAAGTAAGCCACAGTAAGGTGGTTGAGTCTTCCCGAAGGCCGGGGGCCGTGGGTGAAGAAGAGGGGTTTGCGAAAGGTTCTTCTTACCGGTTGTCTGGGGATTTAGGTGAGGTCATCGTGTGGCGGGGACATCAGACCAACTTTCTCGCTCATGTGTTTGGTTTTGGAGCGTTGAGCATGTTGGAAGGTTTTGGAAGTCGGTGGGGGTTCCCTTACTTGAGTTATCGGTGGACTGTTTGACTGTGTCATTGTGTGAGGAGGGAGAGCTTTGACGTTGGGAAGTCCGGATGAGAAAGCTTGGTTCGGGTGCCGAGAGTGGGCCTCGGGATTCGGCCGTGTCTTACGCGGGCGATGTACTACCGGCCACGATGCAGATACGCTTGATTACCACTCTACCTAAAAGTAAGGTAGCATACCTACCTTACCTTAATTAACTAAAGTATTGTTGATTTAACGCCTGTACAACTAGTCTTTCCGATCTGAATGCAATATCTCAATTTCCACATCTGATAGCTACTACCCATCAAGAGTGCCTTTATCTGCTGTGCCCCTTTGTACTCAACTGACATGGCTACAGTATAGCACCGTTTTCTTAGGAAAAAGTAGGCGGGTGTTCGCTTGTCGACTAATTAAGGACGTATGACTTGAGAGCCAATTTTCTCATCCCGTGCAGAACTCCTTGATTCCTCCACGCTTGAGCACTTTCGTATATCGAAAGGCGGTCCAGCCCGCGGTGGACACATCACGACGGCCGCATGAGTAAATAATTGGAAAATTCATTCCCGGATTCGTCCAGAATACAAGATGCCGCATATTAAACGCCCCTGAGCCAACCGCCTCTTATCAAGCAATAAGGCTTGGATGCCTTGAAGACCGGCTTCCCTTCGGTGTTGCCGAGTAAGAGGGTGGGCACACTGATGGCCAGCCTATGAGAGATGCTCGAATAGCTGCACTCCGCCACCGTAATCGAGATGATTGCGGTTGCGTACTAATTTTCGAGAAGCATTATTAGCTGTATGTGAATGATACTAGATTTCCATCCAACGATGCAAAGCTGGCAGATGGCGTGGTTGACTCCAGGGGAACTGAAACAACAGATGGGAGCTAATGCGCATATGGAGTACGCGCATTCGAGCTGGCGGGATCCTGCCATTGATATCACCTGTGGTTAAGATCTCCCTCAAATTATTGTTCTTATGCAAGCAAACAAGCGGCGGTGGCTGAATCGATGTCTCTTGCCCAGTGATTCGCCGTTGTGTAACCTCAAAATCTGCAAGGCAACTGCCGGCAAGCAGTGTGGCAGTCCTTCCACTTTGACACAACATCAGGGCCATGACAGCCAAAGAAATTCTTGCAGATCTCGTCATCGAAGCGGGACTCAGCTCGTCTAAGCCTCCATCTTGCCTCTGGTAGTGTCAGGAAGGCCAATCAAAACCCAGCCACGACTGCGAGGTGAAACTCGCGATATATATCGACAGCCTCGCTTTCGGGGGTTAATCGTCGCTGAGCATCTAGTTCCTACACGGCATTTGGCAAGATCAAGATTAATTAGATAGTTCAGAAACGTTAGCCTTATAACTAAAGAATTTTTCACGAGTTTCGCGCTAGTATCTACTCAGACTTATCATCGTTTACCTTCACCATAGCAGAATGGCCGATCCTCTTAGTATTGCGGGTTCTATTGTTGGGTTGTTGACTGTCGCTTTCAAAGTGTGCAGTACCGCCTCCAATCTGATCAACAACTTCGATGACGCTCCCGAGTCGATCATGCGAGCTCGCTACGTTGTTGGTGAGATGAGAATGATCCTATTAGCGGTCCAAAGACGCATCGACTCACTTGGGACTGTTCCCAACGCTCAGAGAGACATGATTCCACTAGATGACCTCGTAAACGTCATGACCCATTCGGTCTTGATAATGTCTAGAGTAGAATACCTAATTGTTCGTCTTGACGGATTGTGGTCCCGAGTTTTATGGGTGTTATCCCATGAAAAAAAGATTATAAGTCTTGTTTCCCACTTGGAAGATCGGAAATCGGCACTAGCATTCATGCTGCATATTCTCAATAGGTGATAATTATCAGTCCGAAAAAAATTCTCTACCCAACTTGACTGACAGTAAACCACAGCACGACTCTAGAAGAAGCTGGTCGCTCCCACACCGCTTTACAAGCCAAGATGGATAATGTTTCTGAACAGAATCGATCACTGGCAGAACAATTGGACTTGACTGGCACCGAGACATCATGGGACACGCGGTCCGTCAATTTCGAGGACAGTGCTTCATCAAGAACTAGCCGCCCTGCATCTTCACAAAGCCTTACTGGCATTCCTCGCAATTCTGCTCGAGCCTCCCTCCAGAGGCCACACTCCGTGGCAGGGTCAATCATCATGGCATTATCGAATCGCAGCTTTGAGCTCATTCTTGGACAATCGAGAGTGTACAGTCGGACTGAAGGCTACGAAATTGATAGGTCCTCATCCAGAACCTCAACAGCTCCGACAAATTCGTGGAGTATGCTGAGCCTCAGTAATCTTTCGACTGCGGCCGCTTGCAGACTCCCGATATCTCTGAATGATATCAACAAGATCGCACCAGGGTCAACGTTCGCACGACTCTTGAAGGAATACGATTCTGTCGGGAACAACATGAACTTTGGACCACCAACAACACCGCCACGCGACAAGTCCGCATCCCGCATCATCCGCATGCGCGGGCAGATGCCTATGAGGAGGCTCCAGGATAGCTGTGTGTACAGAGAGCCTGATTCAAGTCATACCTTGCCAACCTTTACGTAAGTAAATCGTACCAAGATTGACTTAATACTAACTTGCTCAGGATCATGGTGGTTGGAGATGAAACGCCGCTCAACAGTGATATGATCAACACATTCATACGCCCAGAATCAGCCAGGGAAAGCGCGTATATTCCAGCGGGTAGTGACTCGTTTAAAAGTACAGTTCGGTACGTTCCAGCCATTAACTCTATCCCAAGAAGCTTGCTTTCTCCAGTCAAACGGATCCAGGGTACCCCAAGCGCTCTTGTGCCAATACTGTCAGTGTCCGTGGTGAGTTGATGAATCTTGTGCTGCGCGATACGATAGGACTAGAAAAGTGCGATTCCCTTCGACAACAGCTCTATTCACATGCGGACGCTTTTCTCATCGTGGCCAACAAGTAGACCTGTGTGGGGCGTCTCGTCTTATGTATGAAATTTCCACGGCACAACAAGATGCTTCGTGTCTTCTGGTAGGGGCATATCGCAGTGAACCCGGGGTTAAAATAGCCAATCCCTCGGCACATGAATTGCACGAAACAGGCATGAGTACTGCGAAGCAACTGGGTGCTGTTCAATACCTCGAATGTAATGTCAAGGAC